GCACTTGGTAACAGCTCTGGATTCTCTTTCCTGTGTCTCACTGTGGGCTAACCAAATACCATGAATAGCCTGGTATTTGGCAAACCAAATACCGTGAATAATCTGGGTTCTTGCTGCTCCCGAAGATGGGTATGCAATTGTGAAAGGAAAATATCTTGGGCCCCCAAAATCACTAAGGTAAAGGGAAAATTCAAGCTGGGAACTGCTCAGGTCAAGTCTGCCTCCCCTTCTATCAGAGTCATCCCTCACTGAGATACATGCATACTCCGATTGCCTCCTTTAGAAAGGCTGATTAGAAACTCAAAAGAATGCAACCATTTGTCTCTCCTCTACCTGTGACTGGGAAGCCCCCTCCCTGCTTCAAGTTGTCCCCACCTTTCTGGGCAGAATCAACATACTTCTTACATATATTCATTGATGTCTCATGTCTCCCCAAAATGTATAAAACCAAGCTGTGCTCCAACCACCTTGGGTACAAGGTTGAGAACACACACCCCTTCCTGAGGCTGTGTCAGGGGCTCTCTTCTCAGCCTTGGCAAAATAAACTTTCTAAATTAACTGAGACCTATCTCAAATGTTTGGGTTTCACACAAGTCATCTCTGACATGACTCAAGGTCACTTTCAGCTGGGGCCATGTCTTTGTTTGCTTGGGCTGATTTAACAAAATACCAGACTATGGCCGGGCGCGGTGGCTCAAGCCTGTAATCCCAGCACTTTGGGAGGCCGAGGCGGGTGGATCACGAGGTCAACAGATCGAGACCATCCTGGTCAACATGGTGAAACCCCGTCTCTACTAAAAATTACAAAAAATTGGCTGGGCACGGTGGTGCGTGCCTGTAATCCCAGCTACTCAGGAGGCTGAGGCAGGAGAATTGCCTGAACCCAGGGGGCGGAGGTTGCGGTGAGCCGAGATTGCGCCATTGCACTCCAGCCTGGGTAACAAGAGCGAAACTCCGTCTCAAAAAAAAAAAAAAAAAAAAAAAAATACCAGACTAGGTGACTTATAAACCACACAGGATTTTTTTCTCTGTCACAGGTATGGAGGCTGGGAAAATCCAAGGCCAGGGTGCTAGCAGATTCGGTGTGTGCTGAGGGCCTGCTTCCTGGCTCATCCATGTTCCTTCTTGCTGTGTCCTCGCGTGATAGAAGGGGCGAGGAGTCTCTCCGAGGATTCTTTTATAAGGGCACCAATCGCATTCACCTCCCAAAGGCCCTACCAATCTCCTAAAACTATCACATTGGGGATGAGGACTAAGCTCTGATTTTTTATCTGGTGGTGGTTGCTCCTGCTGCCCCTCTGCTGTGGGTGGTTTCTCTTTCCTGTCATAACCCTCTGCAAACCCCACAGCAAGATGCTGGCCCCTGTGACTATGTGGATTCCTATCTAAGGGGTTTGGGGAGTCATGCCCTACAAACCATAAATTCTCATCAGATGGGTTTTATTGAACACTGTATATTGTGACTTACTTTCCAATCTGACTCTGGCATGACAAGGAAGAAAATCAAAATATTTTACCTCAAAATGTATTTCCTTGCCATACCTTGAAATTGCCCTGCAAATTCTCTTGTGGGAAAAAGCCACATTCTATAAGAATCCTTTTTCCCCTTTGTTTTCCTCCCTTCCTTTCCAGATCCAGGAGATAATCAACTAAGAGCCAGACAACCTTTTAAGTCCTGTAAGAAACCATTTACAACCTGCTCTCCCTGAAGTCTGCTATCCAAGAGCTTTCTCTCCTTGAACATCTCCTTACTTTCCACCTCCTGCCAGTGTCCCATAGGATTTTAGCATAGCTCTACCTTAGCACTCACCACATTGAAGTGAAGTTGTTGCTTGTGCATCTGTCTTGAGCTCCTAGGGATCCAGGACAGGATCTTACTGTAGTTTGTATCCAGCAGGGTGCCTGACACATAGTGGCACTCTGCTGGTATTTTATAGTTGGAACTGAATGGGATCCACGTAGTCAATAGCTAACTAGGAAATGTGCTCTCTTTTATAGTTTAGCCCTTCTTGGCCATTTAAGATAGTCACACATGGATTGGCCCCAGTCTTTCTGAGTTGATTAAATAGCCTCCCAATGCTATTTCTTGGGGGTGCTAAGTTCTATGCCCTTCTTGCTAAGGCAGTTCTGAACTCCCAGGGATTCCTGGATATATTTCAGGGGCCTACAAAGTTGCTACAAGTGTGTATGTATGTGCAAACAGGCATTGATTCCCTCTTTTCCTGGGAGTGGGAGCCCATAGGTTTCATCAGTTTTCCAAATGGGTTCATGAGTTAGAAAGTGTTGGCACCAATCATTTAAACATCTACTGGTGGCTCATTTGGGTGTTGTGGAGGAGACAGGGATGTGCTAGACCTGGACAAGCTATGAAAGAAAGGTGGTTTTAGGGCTGAACTGCACAGTACAAATTATCAATGCAAAGGAGTTCTAAGCAGGAGGATCTAGGATGCCAAGTTCATTGGTGTCTGTGGAGGGTCCTTGGGAGGGTCCATATGCTGTAGGGTCGTTGGCTCAAGAAACAAGTTCCTTGTTCCAAATCTTTTAATGATTGTAAACAAAGTGATTAATTGTCTTTATGTTCTATAGGTCCTTTAAAACAATGAATTAGCATATATCTTGAGAACTTAACTCTATGTGAAGTTCTACTTTCATGAAGAAAAAGTTCAGCCTTTTAGAGAAAAAAGCCTGGTTTCTCCTCAGCTCTGCGGTGTAGGTGCTTGGGGATCTGGACAAATCCCTTGGCCTCTGAGTCTGAGACCTCATTGATAAACTGAGGATAATACAATTTACTCTTGTGGAATTGATTGTTTTTGTCAGTCCCTTCTTTTGGAGGAGCAGTCCTTCGTGGTTTTTTTTTTTTTTTTTTAGACGGAGTTTCACTCTTGTTGCTCAGGCTGGAGTTAATGGTGCGATCTCAGCTCACGTGACCTCTGCCTCCCAGGTTCAAGTGATTCTCCTACCTCAGCCTCCCAAGTAGCTGGGATTACAGGCGGCCACCACCACAACTGCCAACTTCTGTATTTTTAATAGAGACAAGGTTTCTCCATGACAGCCAGGCTGGTCTCAAACTCCCGACCTCAGGTGTTCCACCTGCCTTGGCCTCCCAAAGTGCTGGGATTACAGGCATGAGCCAGCATACCTGGCTGACTCTTTTCTGTCTTTATTTCCCTTTCCATCCCTCCCTGGCTTAGAATCTACATATTTCATTTTCATTCTTTCAGTGGTTGCCCCTAAAATTTTAATGTTTATTTGACTTAACAATATCAAGTTAACTCATACCTCTATTGCCTTGCAAACAATCTAGGAATCTTGATATGCTTTAACCCTGATGTAATAGTACCTGTCTAGCATGTTATTGCTGCCTAATATTTTAGCTTCATCTTATTTTGGTACTGATCAAAATTATCATCATTAATATTTTTGCTGTTTTAGAAATCAATGCTTGTTTAGTATTATCTATATGGTAATCAACATCTTTGCTCTTTAATGCTTCTTTCTTACTCTCTTCTGGGTTCAGTTTCTTTTCTCCTAAAGTTTATCCTTTAGAAATTCTTTCAGGGAGAGTCTGTTGGTGACAGGCTCTCTGTTAGTTTTTATTTGTCTAAAATATTTTTGTGCTCAGCTTAGAATTCTATTTTGACAGTAATTTTCACTTAGTCCTTTCAAGATCTTGTTTGTTCCATTGTTGCTTGTTTCAGTTGTTTCTATTGAGAAGTCAGCTGTCTACTTGCCATTCCTCTGTAGGTAGTTTCTTTTTTCTCTCTTGTTATTTTAAATATTTTATTCTTTGAGTCTGGTGAATTACGATTTCTCTATAAGGCATGTAAAAGTAGGTTTTTATTTATTTTGCTTAAAACTTGTGGCATCCTGAATCTATGAATTCTTGCTTTTTACTTTTCAGCTGTTCTCTCTTTGATTATTGCTTCTCCCCAGTCTTTATCATCTTCATCTGGAGCTCTCATTAGGTGTACAGTGGATTTTCTCATTCTATTTTCTTTTTTTTTTTTTTTGAGATGGAATCTTGCTTTGTCACCCAGACTGGAGTTCAGTGGGTATGATCTCAGCTCACTGCAACCTCTGCCTCCCAGGTTCAAGCAATTCTCTTACCTCAGCCTCCTGAGTAGTGGGGATTACAGGTGCCTGCCACCATACCTGGCTAATTTTTGTATTTTAGTAGAGACAGGGCTTCACCATGTTGGCCAGACTGACCTCAAGTGATCTGCCTGCCTCAGCCTCCCAAAGTGCTGGCATTACAGGTGTGAGCCACTGTGCCCAGCCCTATTTTTATTCTATTCTCTGATAGAAATAAGAGCCACGCATGTGCTCTTATTTCTATCATTTTCTTTCTATATACTACATTCTGATTATAGTTCTCAGATCTCTTTTTATTTGCCTAATTGCTATAGTCCAAGTGAGTCTGATCTGCTATTTATCCTACTTGCTGAGTTTTAAAATTTTTGTGGCCATATAAAAAATTTTCACAAGTTCTCTTTGGTTCTTTTCCAAATCTGTTTTTTTTTTCTGTTGTACTTTTTACATTTTTAAATTTTATATTCCTTCCTTTTTGTCTAGTAAATTTACACTTACTAGTTTTGTGGTCTCTATCATATTATGCATTTCAAGTTCTTGGCAGTCTTATCTGATTTTGCTTTTTTTTCTATTTATTGACATTTGCTGATAATGTGACTATTTCTTCATGGGTTTTGAAGTGGATTGCGAATTCATAGTCAAGAGCCTTTATCTTTGGGAATCTTTTTCATCTAGAGTTGAGAATTTGTATCTTCTCCCTTTTTAATTTATGGTAATTAATGTTTATGTATGTGTGTGTGTGAGTGTGTGTAATAGATGCTTAATGAACACTTGTATTTGTTGATGATATGCAAAACCCATAACAAGACAGTAAATATCCTCATTCCTTTTATTGGAAAGGCACCTCATTTCTCTAAAATGTCCTCTCCAAGATATTTTGCTTATGAGTCTGTATTTTCATTGTTGTTAAGATATGCATTTTTGAGACAAGAGGCTGTAGCTGGCCTTGGAAGAAGAAAAATGAGAACAGGTTCTGGAAAGGGGAAAAGGACCAAACAATCCTTCCATCACAGGAGGGAGAGATAGCACTGAACAGGAAACAGGTGAGTAAACAAGAATATCACCATCCCTGGGTTGAGATAGGGGAGCAAAGATACAAATAGCATGGCTTTGAACCAAAAGGGTTGGAGGGGGTACTTCATGGTATGCATCAGAGGATGGAGACTCAGAGAAAGTGGGTGCAGGTTTATATAACCATGTTTCTGCCTTCATTAATAGTAGCAAAGGCCAATGAAATGACATCATGTGCCAGGCACTGTGCTAAGAGCTTTACCTGGATTCTTCCATTCAATAGTCATAACAACTCACTGAGAAGGCACTGCTATTCTCCCTACTATATAGATGGGGACATTGAAATTCAAGAGGCTAAGAAACCTGACCCACACCCTGCAGCCTGAGAGAGGAGCAGAGCTGAAATTGGAACCCAGCTCCATGGCACTCCAGAGTGGGATCATGCAGCCACTCGAGGGCTGAGCTAGCACTTCCATTGACCCATGGTGCGAAATATTTAATTCATGTGGTTGCTCCTCTGGGGACCCTCTCATGATGTGGGGAGAGTTGCTGTGGATGGGAAAACCCTATTTATAGAAATCACCACTAGCACAAAGCACATGGTATGTGCTTAATAAATATTTACCTAATAAAAACCTAATATTTTTTCTTTTGTAGAATTGAGGAACTGAACCCTGGAGAGTGGAATAGAACGTGTTACCCTGAGACCCTCTCCTCCCCTGCCTCATTCTTGTCTTTAAAGCCCTGCTCAGTCAGCTTGAGAGACCCAGTGTCCTGGACCCTTGCTATGCAAAGAGGCTGGGCTGGGTGGGATTCCCATGAAAAGTGTGACCCACAGGCCACTAAAGGGGATGGGAGGCACTGCCTGGCTGTCTGGAGCTTCTTGTTTGTTTCTGCTGAGTCCTAATATGATTAATTCTGTTCTGGATGATGAGAAGAGAATACACAATGAAGGGGATTCCTTCCTTGCCCCCACCTCCTACACAGAAGTCCAGGCTCCCATCCAGCTGGCACAAAACCTGACATTTGTAAGACAGGACCATCCACGTTAGAGGCACTTCCCAGGACTGTGCTTTGCGTGTACACCCAGCATCTTAAGCACATATTCCCCTGGGAAAGGAGACAGTCCAGAATGTATGTGTGTGTGTGTGCGTGCACGCGTACCTGTGTTGGGGATGGGGAGCTCACTTGTCAGAAATTTGCCACCAAGATCCTTCCTTTAGTGGGAGCATACTTGTTTCTTGCTGTTGGAACTTTGGACCCCCTTTATATTACAGGCATAATCTCTCTGTGCTTTACTAGGGAAGTAAAGTGACCCAGAAGAGGTCGCTGGCTTGGGCAGGTGATGTCCCTTTCTCTGCCTTGTTCCTTGGCTCTCCATATTTCCTTCTTTCTTGCCTCCCTGCCTCCCTTCTTCCTTCTCCACTCCCTCCCTCCCTCCCTCTCTCCCTCCCTCCCTCCCTCCCTCCTTCCTTCCTTCCTTCTCACTTTTTTTTCCTTATTTTCTTCCTTCTCTTTCTCTGCCATCCCACTTCCTCTCTCATGCTCCCTCCTTTGTTTCTGTAAACTTTCCCATCTCTAGACCCACCCACCCCACCACCTTTGCTCTTCCCAAAGGTGCAGTATGGCACCTGCACCTGTCATTTTCCCTCACCCTTGCCAGCCTCCTGGGGTCTCCAAAGGTCCTGCTTGCCTGCAGCCCCAGGTTGACTGCACAGAGCTTCTTCCCAGCTTCTGTCTTGGCCTCAGGCTGTGTCTGAGACTGAGGAGCTGTGAGGTGCACCTGCTGAGTTTAAGCCTCCTGCTGGGGACATCTCCTAGGCTAACAGGGTGCAAAGGCCCAGATGACATGGGGCAAACTCTCTGCATGGCCCCCATCAGTCAGGGACTTCTGAGGCTCTCTGTGCTGACTCACAGTCATGGGCTTACCTGGCACTGGGGCTCCCAACGGGGGAAAGAGCCCTGTGAGCCTCAGAGGCCCCGATTAGCATTTGAAAGAAAGGTCAGGAAGAAAGGATTTCCTAGGCCTGCTGGGAGAAGAAAGGAGGATAGTGAGGAAACTTACCCCCTGCCTGGCTCCCAACAGGCTCATCTGCTGACCAGGTGGCCTTTGAGAGTACAAAAAGAGCACCAGATAAGGGTTCTAACCGCAGCTCAGTCACTGGGGAGCAAAGAGACTATGGTTAGGTTATTAAACACCTCTAGGCTGCACTTTTCTCACTACAAAGAGAAAGACAAAGTCTGTAAAGTGCTTTTCCTTCTAGAATTATGAGGGCCCAGGTGGCAGTGGGGTCAGAGGCCTGGGGGACCCCTGAGAACACTATGCACTGACTTGGAGGACAGGCTTTGGAACAAATGCCAGCTCTGTGTGTGACTTTGGACAAGGTGCTTACTTAACTTACTTGAGTCTCAATTTTCACATCTGTATAGGGGGGTGATACTTTATGGAATGGGTTTTTTTTTGAGACAGTCTTGCTCTTTTGCCCAGGCTGGAGTGCAGTGGCATGATCTTGGCTCACAGCAACCTCCATCTCCCAGGTTCAAGCAATTCTCCTGCCTCAGCCTCTTGAGTAGCTGGGATTACAGGCACCCTCACCACACCCAGCTAATTTCTGTAGTTTTTTAGTAGAGATGGGGTTTCACCATGTTGGCCAGGCTGGTCATGAACTCCTGACCTCAGGTGATCGACCCACCTTGGCCTCCCAAAGTGCTGGGATTACAGGTGTGAGCCACTGTGCCCAGCCTCATTAAGAATTAAAATAAGTAGGAAAGCAGTGCTTCCCACAGGCAGGCTGCTTGACCCCAGGCAGTACAAAGGATGATTTGAGCTTATACTCTGTTCCAGTTCTCTCTCTAACCTGATTGCCACGGAGACGGTTGGTGTGCCTGGAACATCTCTACAGCACTTACCAATTTCTCCTTTTAGCAAAGGGAGTTTAGGTTTCAGTTGGAGGACTTTCACCTGACAACAGCAAGCTCTGAGTTTACAGCATCGTTTGCATTTATTATGTTTACATTTATACTTGCCTTCTACTTATTTTTAAGATATTTATATTTTGATTTGTTATTTTATTTTATTTATTATTACAGTAGCCTCTCCCCCACTTATCTGAGGTTTTGCCTTCTGCAGTTTCAGTTACCTGTGGTCAACCACAGTCCAAAAATATTCAATGGAAAGTTCCAGAAATAAACAATTTGTAAGTTTTAAACTGCTGTAACTCTGAGTGTGATGAAATCTCTCGCCAGCTTCTCTGTCCTGCCTGGGACATAAATCATTCCTTTGTCCAGTGTATGCAGCGCCCACTACCTGCCTGTTAGTCCCTTAGTAGTGTTCTCTGTTGTCGGGCAGAAAAACTAGTATATACTCTGTGTAGAGTTCGGTGCCATCTGCAGTTTAAGGCATCCACGGGGGTTCTTGGAACATATGCCATGCAGATAAGGGAGAAACTATTTATTTACCTGCTATTTGTAGTGATGCTGGTTTTCCATGAAGATGGTGGTATAGAATTTCCTTTTGAAAGAAATTTAGGTAAATAAAGGTAGTCTATTGAAGACAAAGATTTGCAAGTAATTGAAAAGGCGGTGTGACGATATGGCCAAGATTGTGGATGTGGTCTAAGAATTAGGGAAATGTGTGCATTGCATTTTGGGACATGTAAAGTATCCACTATGGTCTCTGGCCTCAACTATTATTCCCCTAGAAGGAAGGGCATGTCCTGCCTACATGCTTCTTCTCTGCCTACCACCTCAGCTCCTAGGCAATACTGATTTCATCAGTCTTCATGGAAGACCCAGGGAAGAGAGAGCAGCATGAGCCCTCTCATGCATTCTGTTTAGCCTGTAGATTGGTTCTGACTCAAATATCCCCTACTGACAATGGAACGCCATTCCAATGGGCCACCACATGATGAACCATTGAATTTAATGAAAAGTCATTTCAATGAGCTACCAGATAATGAACCATTGAATTTCTACACTAATGATAAACGGGCTGGAATCCCCTTATGGGCCATTGTACTTTAAATAGAATATGTATTACCTTCTGGAATAAAAGCCACTTATGCAAACCAACCAATCTATCTCAGTAGAGTGTCACCAAGACAGATCTTGATAGAAGAGCCAAGAGCAAGTCAAATGAAAAGCTCTAAGCCCATGACCATATATCACCCAGGGAGTTCCCAGGGCTGCTAGAGCAGTTTGTGGGTTGCTTTGTTCAACTTACAGCTTTCAGTTTTGTTATTAGGAGAGAAGAACAAGATGAGATTGATAGATAACCAAAAGGATGCTTTTGCACGCCTTCAATTCAGGGTAGCATCTTGCAGAAAATGCATTTAGCACAGTGTCCTGGTGGTCACAGAGGCTTTTTTTCTGAAGGGAGGTCTGAGCCACTTGCTGGGCATTGTCTGCCTCTCACAGTCTCCCTGTGCCAGCTGCATAGTGCTGTAGGGAAGCCATCTTTCTGGAAGCATCTAAAGTTTATGCTTAAATAAGCCCATGTCAGGGGTCCTCAGGGAAAAAGAGCTGGCAAGGCACTCTGTGGATGCTACCAAATTGTAGTGACTGCAGTGCGCAGAGAAACCGGAGGTCATTTCTCTTTCTGTTTGGACTTCTAGAATGGTCAGGCAGATGGCAGGGTCTCTCCCACCTTCAACTCTCTTTCAGGATTAGTCAGGCAGCCATGCAAAGTCCACTGTGGAATTTCCCTAGTGGGAGATTCAAGGACTCAGGTCGTAGCCAAAGGTGAGGATCTACCTCCTCTTCCTGGCTCCAGGCAGCATTCCTAGAATGGGGTCTCTTACATTCTGGAACTCTTACAGCATTCTGCTGAAACATGGCAAGTGCCTTCTGCTGGGACCTTTCCTGAACTTCCCTCTAGGACCCAGAAACCAGTTTATTGGTCTGTACTTATGGCTTATCTTTTTGCAGGACACTGCCAGATTGAGTTTTTGTTCTGGAAGGACCCCTTCACTGTTTCATTATCTACCCCCAAAGCCATGAAAGTACCAGAGATTGCCAGCTGAATATATCACACCCCAGCTCCTGATACACTTGCAAGGCCCTGGAAGATATGAGGTTCCTCTTTAAGTGCAAAGGCCATTAAGCTCCAGATGATCCTTAGTGAGGGATACTGCCCTCTCAATATTCAAGAGTCACCCTTTTATAGGGGACCTCTAGATTGACCATCAGTGGGACAGAGGTAAAGTCTTGCTCCTGTCTCCCTCAGACCTGGCTAGACACTGCTTTCACCAACTCATGGAGCCAAGTCAGCTCTGACAGCTAGCGAGAGGCCAAGACCCACAGAACCACCACTGCCCCTCTGTCAGCAGGAAGAAGTTGCAGAAGACTGACATTCATCCATTTTCCCCCAAAGATTTAGAATCTTGGACTCTTAGTGGGGAAGGTGTTACAGTAGGTAGCCAGTCAGGTATGAGCAAGGCTGGAGAGGGCTCTCCACACACATCAGGAGTGTTGGGTGATCATCAGGTGATGGTCAGGGGGTTAACTATTTTCTCCAAACACACTGGATTTGATGTGTTACAAAAGAAAAGAGTTACTTCGTTGGTACCATGTCCTGGCTCAAAGCTTCTTCATCACAATTAGCTGATCTGAGGCCAGTGATCTGGGGCAGGGCTGGGAAATATCCCATGGCTAGACTGTCTGTCACAGGTGTCTCTTTCCTACACACACCTGCTATCCCAAGATGCTGGAGACAGGATGGAAGCATATCAGTGGAAATCTTCTGGACATCTTTTTGACAACTAGAAGTCATTTTCACAGTTACAGAATTTATTTTAAAACATATTAAACTTTGGAATCATTTAAATGCCAGGATTATGCCATCTACTGGAATGTTATTCCACTATTATTTTTTAAAATAGTGTTTTCCATGCTATTTAATGGCATAAAGAAAATGCTAACAATTTCATATTAAGGGAAAATAGGATAAAAGACGGTCAGTCTAACCCTAATTTTGCAAAAATACACAGCCAAGAAAAAGGTGTGAGAGAAATATATAAAAATATTAATAATGGCTATTTTGGGTGGTAAGATTCCAAGTGACAAATTCTTTTTTCTTGTCACTGACTTGAAGTGTATATGAAACTTTTATATTCCAAAGATTATAATACATATGAATTATTCTTATCAGCAGAAGTAAATAGAAATATCTATAAAAATACAAGCACCCGAAAGCTTGTTCTCTAAGTCCCACTCTCCACTGTTATAAATTACAAAGAGACAAATCACTTGAGAGGCAACAGACCTTCCTTGTTGCACCAAGTAACCTGACAGTTCTAAGCCTCAGTTTTCCTACCTGTAAAGTGGGAAAATAGCTGTTGCTCCCACTTTTTTTTGAGACAGAATCTT